GTAGCATCCTCATCGTTGCATGGCATTTTACTTTTGCATATAATAATATAAGAATGAAGAAGTCGGTTGACCATATCAATTATCCCTTTAATTGATACAGCCACCGGAAGCTCCGAGACTCGTCTTGTTCAATTAAACTAGAACAAATGCTGTGTGAGCTTTTAGTTCGGACGTGAATTCGTATGCTTTGCACTGCTCAAGCTGTGCAGCTGCGAAGCGCTAGATCGGATTTCGTCAATGAGATAGAGGGAGTGTAATAAAGGTAGTGTAAAAGAAAAAGGTGTTAACTGCTGCCATATGTTCATCTGCAGCACTCGATGATATTTTTCTTCCACCACTATGAAATGCCACTGATTGTTTATCACGATCGATTGCAACGAATTATCACTGATCTGCAACATAATCCGGTTTGTTTGCCATTCTCTTGCTTTTCTTATCAGCGCACTGTTGCTGATGTTGACGTTGTCGTGTGCTGCTGGTGCTGTCGAAATTTCCCTGATTTCAAGGTATCATTGATGCCTTTGTAAATTTCTGCTGAATTTTCTTTGATTTCAAAATATAGTTGACACTCCTGTAAATTTTTCCACGTGATAAAGCTTCTGAAATAGCGAACCGTTTTCGTTCATAAGTTTAGGCTGTAAACATCACATTAGGCCACCCTTCTTAAGCCAGTTTAATGTAATTCCTTGACATTTCTGGAGAAATTAGTCTTAAAAATTAGTCCTAGCACGATTCATACTAGGGCAGCTTTTTGCGTTTTCATCGGAACTGAAAGTCATAGATAGTCATTCTCCCGGATCGCTATTATTGGTTGTTGTATTGAAGAATGGCAAATGTTTTCGCTTTATGTATGGTTTGTATTTGAGAAGAGTTCTGCTTTCAACCTGCCTTGATACTTTGTTTAATCATCGACTTCAAGGTTAAACAATTAAAAAAACATTTTAAACTGAGCTGTTTTCAGCCTCAACAACAAACTGAAACAATGAACAGTCCAGCTGCGTCGGGTGCCCCTGTTAGCACGGCAGAGTCGTCGAGTGGAACTGGGATAGCTGAAGCTTCAGGCAGCAGAAGTCCGTCTGACGGAGATTCACCGCTATCATGTACAGATGCAAATCGAGATGCTGGCGTGCCGCCTGGTATAGAAAATGCTCCAGTTTCATCGCATGGCACGGAATTTGCAGGCGAATCTGAGGAATATGCTGCTGCAATTGGTGGAAGTGACAGTGTAACGCCGCATGATCCGTTGTTGTTAGCCGGTGAACGTACAGCACGCGAAATTGTTGATAATGCCATTAGCGGTATATTCAATCGGAGAGCAGTAACTGGCAGTAGTGCGTTATAAAATTTGATGAAAAAATGTGGATTTTTCCATGACATTCACTTGAAAATTACCAATAAAAAGTACTGGCGTGGCTTTTTTATATGTTGGAATGACTTTTGCAGTTGGCCTGTAGTCTATAGTCACCCGGTGGAAGCTTACTAAAAACCGAACAGTAATTACGGTGTCAGATTTCCTCGCTGGATTTCCCCCTCTTTTTTACAAGTTTTTTTTCCTCCTACTTAGCGTTTCCTTTAATTTTTTTGAGATAGAAATGACTTGTTTTGCATATAAATTGATTTCTTTCCTTACATAGTATTTTTCGATCTGAAATCTAGTTTTGACTTTGCGATTAGCTAACTATTATTGTTGCACGGTATAGATGCGTCCCAGTAACATCTAGCTATACGCTGATAACTCAGGTGATATTTAGCTCAGGATATTCTGTTGAAGTGATCAGTGACCAGGCTGAAGAGAGATTTTATTTGTACATTCTTTTTCAATTTTTTTAAGGGGAAATCCTGACGAGGAGGGTTTTCCATGTTGTGAACAAGTATATATAATTATGTACAGATGTTATTAGTGGTGTTATTAATTCATGAAATTTCTTGTGCATATGGGAGAGGGCGATGTGTGGGCGACATTTAATGTTTCCCTCACTGCTCGACTTTGTATGTCCTTATTTTTGAAGCATTAAAAATGAAACTGGCTAATAAATGTGCTCACACAGAAAAAGTTTTGAATCTTCTAGCGACTTAGGTCCAGAAGCAGTCCTCTCCTCCCTCTTTTCTTACTGTCATAGTTGACAAAACTGTGCCGGCGAAATGAAAACGCTTTAAATTTGGTTGAAATAACTGCAGTTAGAACTCTGAATTGATAGAATACGCTGGAGTCGATAAGCTAGTTTGAGGGGCGTTTTTTTTTTAAATGAGCACACTGGTTTTTGAGGCGTTGCAAATATTGATACTCGTTTTTTTGTAAGTCTCAAATTATCCTTCTCTGTCATTATCATCATGCGCGCCAACTGCCTCAAGTTTAGTCTCAAGCTATATTTTCAGTTTAAAACAAAGTTCGATTCAGTGATAGTGTTGCTGATCTGAGTTGCAAATGAATTGATTAAATTTGGCTTGTTTGAGTTGTTTTGCATTAGGGCGTTTGTTACGGGGTTTGAGGAAACAGTTTTGTTTGTACTTGTTCCCCATCTCCCTGTCAGATTAGCGCAGACTCCATTTGTGTGCAGTTGGAAGACAAAAACACATAACTCGTTCGGTCGTTGTCGTCCTATTCGCGCTGAAGATTTTGAAGAATCCTGTTTAAAACCGGCAATAAAATATTTCTATCGCATCTCAAATCTAATTCGCGATGTTTCGTTTGTTTCGCGTTGCATGTGAATACCATAACAGTAGAAAGTGTTTCTGAACTGTTAACAGATGATTGAAGAATGGGGATCACCCTTTACTTGTTTTTTAGTTTCAAATGTAAAAAAGTGGCGGCCCTGTCCCCCGAAGGGGCTGCCTGGTTTAACTCTTTTCTGCTTCCATATGGTTTTTCTCTTAAAGTCTTTTGGAAGTTTATTATGTCTTAAATGTCATTCAGGGATTGCAAAGCTCCCTATATATTCGCTCTGTACGAAAGACGTGGGCCGGAAGGCAAGTACTAACAGCAGGTGCCGGCTACTAGCAGTTCTCTCGAAGACTTTCTCTTCCAGTTGGTTTCTTTAGAATCAAACTGATTACGAGTTTGACTCTGTAGCGTGTGCCAGACCAATTTACCACCGGAACTAGTGAACGATTCGTTGGAGGATATCGTGTGTCGAATCCTGGGCTTGCACAATAGCAGCTTTGATTGTTGTTGCGCCATGTCCGCGACCATTAATTAAGAGTCTGAATTAAGCAATTGGGAACGGCTGATTTTGGTGCTCATCGCGCAGTCTTGCCCGTAACTACCGTTGTCTTGGCAGTTTTTAGGTTTTTTTAGAGATAATTTTCCCCTAGAGATAATTCTGTGAAATTATCAGTGAAGTCAGTATTTACAAGAAAAATTACCGAAGTTTTAGAAAAAATTCAGGCATTAATTCTGGCGTAGAAAAGTAGTTTTGGAGAAAGCTGATAAATTAGTTTTTGGAGAAAATTGACTTTTTCGGGAAAATATTCCCTTAAAATTAGTTTTTTAGAAGTGATGGATTTTTGAAAAAAATCGGAGTTTGTTTGAGTAAGCTGTATTTGTTTATTATTCTTCACCCAGAATTTTCTCCTCGTTTACACCGCAGAGCAAAGTGGGATTTCTGCAAAACGTTGCACTTGCGAAAAAACACTGTCCATTTTCTTGCATGTTCAGCTTTCGTACCTCATAGCTTTAGGAGTAGAGATTGGTTTTCTTTAGCGCCGCTTTCTTCCTCCGCTCTCTTGCCTTTCTCTTTTCGTCTTCTATCTCGCATTCCGGAGTTGCTGTCTTGAATTTTTGAAGGACACTTTTTTTTAAGAACCATTCAATCTCGGGTCATTTCTTAACGGTTTTTCACAGCCCTTTTTTGCATAATTCCTGGCAGATTTTTGTCTCTAATGGCATCGGTTTTTCCGGCAGATGCTTTTAGTTAAACGAATTGAAACTGATCGCCAGGACTATCAGGAAACACCCCCTCAAAATTCATAAATTTTAATTTTTCAGTTCCTCATGTTAGCAACTTATCCGCGAAAAACTTTCACGGGCCTGTGAGTAGGAACCGCGCACACCCGGATCCTGGGTTTGAACTTATTAAGGCCTATTTGGACTGGAGATATCCCATTAAAATTACAGCCTTCTAGCTTTTCAGGTTCCTGCGTTAACAACTTACCCACACAAGACTTACACGGGCTCGTACGCACACTCGGAGGCTGGGTTGAAATCCAATAAGACCTACGTGGACGGGGAACATCCGCTTAAAATTTCAGCTGTCTAGCTTTTATGGTTCTCGAGTTAGCACTTACTCGCCAAAAACTTTGACTGGCCCGTACGTGGATACCACGCGGTAAGAGCGTCGATTTTGGGGATGGAGGCCCATACGTGCATGTAGATTAAGTCCCCAAAGTTTCAGCCGTGTGACTTTTGTAGGTCTTGAGATGAAAAATCGGAACAGGCAGACACAGACAACCTCTTGACGGTATGCGTTTTTGCATTGCATAGATGCAAAGAACGCATAAAAATTATGTTCTACTTATAGGAACAAACAATCGCATAAACTGCCTGTTGCGCGTTTCTTTCTGTTTCTTTGACATTCATATTTACTATGCATCTTTGCTGTATGCAAATTGCAAAAATTATGCGTTTCTGCATAATATGCAAAAACACATATTGTGACGATCCCGGTGTGTGTGTGTGTGTGTGTGTGTGTGTGTGTGTGTGT